AATCAAAATGTATAATTGTGGGCCAGGGATTTAGCTCAGTGGTTTTGCTGCCTGCTGCGCAAGCACAAGGACCCGAGTTTGATCCCCAGTTCTCCCTGCCAAAAAAAGTATAATTGATATTGTAAAATAGGAAGAAAAGGTCCAAAGGTCCAAAGGAGTAGGGGAAGTGGGAGGGTTAGGGGAAAGAAAAGAAGAGAAAAGAAAAAATACGAGAAAAGGAAAAAAATGGAAACCAAGTCTTTGTAAATAGGGAAGGGTGGAGGAGGTGAAGGGAGGGCAGGGCAATGGGAAAAAATAAGAACCAAGATACATCATGTAAAGGTACAAGATCCCAATGGTGAATGTAACTGTATTGTATACCTAAAATGTACCAATAAACAATGAAAAAAAATAAAATGTACATTTCAGTGATTTTTAGTATATTCAGAGTTATAAGCCATCATCAGGAATTTTAGAACATTTTAATTGCTCCCTAAAGAAACTCCATACTCATTATTGGGCACTGCCATTTCTTCCTCAACCCTTCTCCAGCCCTGAGTAACTACAAATCTTTTCACTAATATCTCTCTCTCTCTTTCTCTCTCTCTCTCTCTCTCTCTCTGTTTTGTATTTTATTTGTCCTCAAATTTTTCTACTGGGGTCAACTCTGGAGACAAGGGAGCTGAGGAGGCCCTTGTTCACTACCAAATGCCCACTCTTTCTAGGGAGTTCCATAGGCACAGCAGCTTCCAGCCTGAGCCTGGTGTGGCCTCAGGCCTGTCAGCTACCAAATACTCTGTCCACTTGGTTTCCCTAATCAATATGGGCCGATCACACATTTGATAGAAACAGGTTCAAGGGCCTGAGCCATTTTGAGGGGCTTCTCCTTGAGGTGGTAGCCAGGCTGCAGGTCTAGGATAAAGTGAAGCAGCTGCAGTGTGCTAGAAGAACTGGCCTGGGAAGCAGAAATCCAGTTTGCCTCCCAGCTCTGTGTGTGCTTGCTGGAATGAGTTTCTGAGCTTCAGGTTTCCCATCTGTAAAGTGACGGTCAACCTTGCCTTTCATGGTGGTTGTCAAAACTGAACAAGATAACGGAAGAGAGAACACCTGGTATTCAATAAATGTTATAGTGAAAGGTGTTACTGTGTTTTGTGTGCGTATATATTGTTTTGGTTCTGAGGATCAAACCCAGAGCCTTGTGCCTGCCAGCTGAGCACTTTACCACTGAACTACACCCCAGCCCTTGTTTGATTTTTCTGAAATCATTGGAAAAGAGTAAATCCTGATTCTCAGAATCCAGGTGAAGATAAAGGATTGAATATTTGCTTCTTCTCCAAAGCCCACTGAATTAAAAAAAGTGTTTATGAAAGGCATGAATCACAAGAATTAGAAGAATGGGAAAGGAATAACAGCATCAAAATGTTAGAAGCTGGAAACAGATGGTGAATGTCAAATAACTTAACAGACCCAGGATATCAGAACCCTGAGCCAACAGAAGGAAAAGCTGAGAATTGCCCCTTTTGTAGTATGCCGTCTCAAAAGACTCAGGACCTGGCAGGAACAGGTGCCTCTGGAAGTCAATGTGGAGGCTTAGAATGAAGAAGATTGGCAGAGGGTCTGCCTCAGAGTCAGGTCTCCTCCCTTGTATAACATAGAGCTGCTCTTTCCATATTTTGGAAAAAGTCTGGAAGATGATTCTCATTGGGGAGCTCAACAGAGGACCTCAGGACTTAGGGAACCCAAGCATAGCTGAGGGCCTGATACAGAAGCAGCAAAAAAAAAGGGATTATGCACATTTTGAGCCCTCCATCCTGCCTCCTCAGTCTGCTCTCAGAACCTGGAAGCCAAGGCTTTTAGGGAGACAGGATGTTGGAATCGGAGCTGCATGGATGGGAAACCTGAGACTGGCATGGGAGGTTCCTCAACAGACCCAGGTCAGCCCTCAGAGTGTGAAGTCCAGGATCCCCAAGTCCTTTTTGCATTCAGAATTCTAATCAGCACCTTTAAGTTTCTTAAATATGAGCAGGCAACCCATGATTCTTAGATTTCAGGAATGGCTATAATATGAAAGACAGTGGCAGAACACCCCAAGAGAAAAACAGTCAATTGGAAGCAAAGCTATGCAGGAAGAAGAAACCATCATTAGTAGCCTTGGAGACACAGGAGAAGATACCACTTATTCCATGGATGCAATGGCACAAAGTACTTAGAAAATTGTAAAAGGACTCTTAGAAACCATAACAGAAATGAATACTTCAGGTGAATAGTAGGAAGAAAAATTGAAATATGCTAGAAAGTGGAACAAATTGGCAGTGATGGAAATAGAGAAGGAAAGATACAAATAACAGCATCAATTTAGGTCTAACATCCAACTGACAGTTCTAAAAAAACAGAGGACATAGAAGGAAGGCAGTCATCAATGGCATACATAATTTAAAAGCCTTTCCCAGAACCAGAGGGCACACACTTCTAAATGGAAAGGATCAGCAGCTGCTGGCACAAGAGATGGTAAAGAGGGGGTTCTGGAAGCCTTCAAAGGAAGAAGGCACTGTGAGGCAAAAGAAATAGCAGGGAGGCTTCCAGATGCCTTTTTAAAGTATTTATTACCTAGAATTATTTGCTCAGCCAAACTTTCAGGGAAGTGTAAGTGAGAAACAGAAGCCCTCAAAACATCTGTGCCCCCAACACACACTTTTCATGAAGCAAGGGAAGATGAAATGGTAAAACAAAAGTGTAACCCAAGAAAGAGGAGGATGGGAGATGCAGGCAGGAAACATGAGCTTCAACAGGACAGAGGCACAGGGAGCCCCAGGAGGATGGAGAGAGGCCCAGTGGGTGGCTGTGCACCAGGTGCAGAGGCCTCTAGTCCAAGTAGGAGCAGGACAGAGGGCTCCCAAAGGGACCTCCTCAAGATGGCGAACTGAATGGACCACCTGGTGCATCAGAACGACTTTGGAGGTTGAAATGGCCAGCAGAGAGTTTGGGTTGGAATTTAGGATGAGTATATAAAAATCAAACAACAAAAAAAGCCAAGATCAGCACTAACATAAAGGAACAATTGGGCAGGAAAAGAAAAATCATAAGTTTCTCCATGGCTGAAGCTGAATGTAATGTTTTTATACTCACAGCAGACAGATACTAAAGTGCTGTGCTAATAAAATGGTGATATGGCTATGTTGTGGGATGGTGAAGCTCCTGTATGGGACAGAGGAAAGGGACAAATCCTCATCCTATAGTAGACAATCAATAGGTAATGCCTATAATTGAAAGTCAGGAAGTAGTAACTTGAATGTGTTACTCAGATTGTAGTTAAATGCCAAAATGCTCAGCTAGAAGAGGTTTCCTCTGAAGAGGAGGAAAGGGAAGGAGTAAAGCCTGCTGGTTTTTACAAGCCTTGTGGAAACTATTTAAGCTATGTGATTAATAGTCTTGATTAAAATAAAAACTTTTACAAAAGGTCTGGCAAATGCACAAGGATATTAATTGTAGCACTGTGAAATATCAAAAATAACCTAGTGTTCAACAATAATGGTAATGGAATCCAATGGTGCCTCAGAGCTTGTTGTTAATTGGTTCCAGGAGGCACAAAGCGTACCAAACAAATTGTCTTGTCTAGAAGGGCTAGCAATCATGAGGCAATCGACATCTGACAAGATCTAGCTTGTGTATAGAATACCAAACAAACAACGAGTACCAGGACAAGATTTTTCCATCAAAATATGTCAAGTACTTTTATGGTTTAGATCAAGAATGCCCCTCAGAGGCCCCATGTGCTCATAGGCAAGGCTTTTGAAAGCTGAATCATGGGGTGACTTAGCTAGGTTGCTGGTAGGAGGTGGACGGACCTGGTCTGAGGAGGCAGTCACTGAGGCAGGCCCTAGAAGGGTGTGTGCTACTCCCTGGCTCCTCTCTTCTCTCTTGCTACTTCCCTGCTGTGATGTGAGTAGCATTCCTCCACTCTGCACCTCTGCTGTGCTGTTTCTGCCTAGGAGCCAGCCAACCATGAACTGTAACCATGAACCAAAATATACCTCTCCTTCTTTAAGTTGTGTCAAGTTTTGGTCCCAGTAACTAAGACAAATACCAAATTCAATCAAAGTAGTTGAATACCAAGGTATGACCGTACTCCATGATCATTCAAAATGAAGATGTAGACATATGTTAATGACCATGGAGAGAAGCGCACGTTAAGTTTTTTGTGCAAAAGGAAGAAAGATTTACTGTGGCTCCCATAGTGTTAAGTTTTTAAAGAAGAAGATAAGTCTTAAAATCCTGATATGCTATCTCTTTTGTGCTTTTCTAGATGTGCTGAGGAAGTGAAGAGCCCGGGAGAAGAGGCCGGCAAAGCTAAAGTTCATTACAACATCGAGTTCACCTTTGACACGGATGCCCGGGTAGCCATCACCATCTATTATCAGGCCACTGAGGAGTTCCAGAACGGTATTGCCAGGTGAGCTGCCCCCTTCCCAAACAGGTAGGGTCCGTGTCTTATGCCCTCTCCTGTGGAGGAAGGCATTCCGTTTTTACAATCAAATGAGATCGGGTTCCTGAATTTAGATTTTCTTTTACAAAGCACTATTTTATCTTGTCCCTTCAAATAGTGCCATCTTTGTACAGTGGCAGATGGCTCCATAATCCCTCAGGTCCTGAAGGTGCTGTTAAAGAACCTATTTAGGGTAGGTTGAACGTACAAGTTTAATAACATCACCAGGAAAGAACAAAAGGAATGGATTAGAAAAGAGATCTTTTTTATGCTAGAGCTAGCTGAAAATGGAAACAGGCACAAGATGGGAGAAACTGACAGATTCTAACTTCTGCTCTGCTTCCCACATTGTCCACAGCTATATTCCAAAAGACGACAGTCTGCAGTCGGAGACTGTGCACTACAAGCGAGGGGTGTGCCAGCAGTTTTGCCTTCCCTCTCACACTGTGGACCCCTCGGAGTGGGCTGAAGAAGAGGTGAGCTGTGTCTGCAAAGTGTTCCTCACAGACATGCAGAAGGGCACGGGGCTACTGAGGACCCAGGCCAGCAGCAGATGCTCCAAGGCTATGCTCACCATTTAGCCTTGTGGCTGCTGCACCCCTTTAAAAGTTCTGCTTACTCAGATCCAAAATACCCTGCTTTTATTAATTCTTCTATTCCAAAGTAGCATGTTAACCTAGGATATTTTGAGAAAGCCATGGCCAAAGAAAAGAAGCTGCAAGTTAAGAGGACTTTAATTCCATGAGATTTTAAAAAAGAAACTGGCAGCCTTCTGTTACACAGATGATTGTGAGGTTGGTGAGGAAGGAGCAGCAACAAGGCCAGCCTTTCATGGCAGCGCCTCCTTTTCCATGGACTGCTGTGCCATTTCCACGTATTCAGTCTTTGCTTTTCTTCCTTTCTTCTCTGCAGCTTGGCTTTGACCTGGACCGAGAGGTTTACCCTTTGGTGGTACACGCTGTGGTGGATGAAGGAGATGGTAAGAGCAGTTTCTGTCTTCTCTTGCGTGTACACTGCCCCTTTGTGGCACACTCCTGGCAAAAGCTATGGCACCAGAATAGCACGCCTGCTCTGAGGACCTTGGGCAGTGTCTACATCCTCATGCCTGTGGTCTCCAGCAGCTTGGGCAGAAGTGGAGTTGGGTTATGCGTGCACCCCTGCTGGTGGCAGCCCAGTGTGACTGATTTGCCAGATGTGTGGGAGAGACGGGCATCAAGAGTGTTCTCTGGCTTTCTTCACCCTTTTGCATCTGTTTCTTTCAGAATATTTTGGCCACTGCCATGTGCTGCTGGGTACTTTTGAAAAGGTAAGTAGCTTTACAGTACACTTAGCCTTTTCTTTCCTGCAGAACACCCTCATTTGCTAGGTGCCTGAACATAGCGGAATAGTCCAGCTTGAGAGGTCGGGTGGCATTGAACAACCATCACGTGGGGCTTGCTCGAGGCAGGATATAGCTCTGCTTCCAACTTGCTACCTGACCCCCTTAGGCCTCAGTCTCCTCTTCCTAAAATGAAAGGGTTAGGCTGGACCATTGTGAGACCCTTGCAGTATCGGGATCCCATCATTCCACTCTGTGAGTGCCCGACATCGTGTGTAACGCAGGGAGGTAACAAGAGTGTGGTGTGCTTTCCTGCCCTCCCCTCCGTCATGCGTAACCATCTTCCTTTCATTCCAGCACACAGATGGGACTTTCTGTGTCAAGCCCCTCAAACAGAAACAAGTAGTAAGTATTAAGGCCCAGGGGCTGTTGGCCACTACTCCCTCCCTTTCTCCCTCTTTCTCCCTTTTTCTTTTTTCTTTACTTCTTTGCTAAGCACTCTTCTTTCCCTCTTTTTAAAACAAAGAAGAAAATAAAAAAGGGAGTGCTTTTGTGTGTTAGAATCTACTTGGGTGGCCTGAAAGGAATCCAATTTTTGGTGTCTTTATCGTTCTAGAATTGTTGGTTTTGAGGCAGTGGTTATCTGAGCAAAGGACCTGAGAAATGAAAGACAAGGTTTGTCCCCCAACATTAGGTTTAGGGAGAACCCTTTATTTAAAATGTCAGGGTGAGAAACATTCCAAGTGAAAGGGTAAAGTATTGGGGTCCAATTCAGGGTCAGAGCTTAATTTCTCCCACCATTCTGTTCTAAAGTTCAGTGTGCTGGCCACCTGGCCCTTCCAGACTGAGCAGCAGGGTCTGCATGGCTGCCAGAAAGCCTCATCCCACAGGGTGCCAGCACTTTTCTTTCCACTCTTGCAGAGGTAGGAGGAGATGTCATGGACAGCGAGAGTGGTATCAAAGGCCTTGGCAAGGGAGGATGGTGGAGAGGAGGTCATCTCGTGGAAGGTGGGAGCAAGGAGGTGGGAGGCATGGCTGGCCTTTATGGAGGTACAAGCCCTTCCCCCTTCCAGATGGACGACAGACATCTGAAATTCTACATTATCCATTCTTTTAGGTTAAGTGCTTGCCTCTCCTACAACAAGGTCGACAGTAGTCAATTACACCTTAATGTAATTAGTTAATAATGTCCTTTCAGTATAATTGTTAGGTTAGAGCAAGTTTTAAGAGAGGCAGAGGCTACCACAGATCCCTGAGGCCAGGGCACTACCCAGGCAGACCTGACCTTGGTGAGTTGGCTCATGGGGAGACCTGGAGATGATGAAAGGGTTTTCTCTCTTTTCCTATTGCTGGATCTGCTCTAGCAGCAGACTGTCACACAGCAGAGAGGGAGATGAAATCAGAGCCAGGCTAAGTCCGTGAGGAGGGGATTTCTGGGGACAGAGGTGAGCCAGAAGGGAGGAGTGAGCTCCCAAAGGGTACCGGGGAAGGGCCAGCGTAGACACGGGAGCAGGCATTGGTGAGTTCTAAGAAGTAAGCCCAGAGGGGTAATTTTGCTGTATGTTGCTTCAGAGGGGATGTGTACCACTTGCCTCTCCTTCAAGGCCTTGCATCTCCCTTGCATCTAAATTTTTCTCTCTCTTCTTTTTCCTTGCCCGTTTCTTCTCTCTCTCTCTCCCTCCCTCTCCCTCTCTCTCTGTTTCTCCCTCAATTCCTTTATTTTTATAACATCTGAGCTGAAATTTTCTTACAGAACTAAGGCTTTCATTTTGATACATACCCTTCTATCCTCTTTCTAGTGTAAGCTTTTCATAACTGTCCATAATAGTGAGCTGCACAACAAGTATTATTGTTGCATTGTGGGATTTTGTGTTCCCTGTTGAATGTAATGGTGGGTGAATTAAACGTTTGATTTTCTTTCCTCTCTCAAAGAGAAAACATAAGTAAATAAAAGTATCCTTTACTGGTTTAGGTCTTTGGGTTTTTTCATTGTGAATCAGTAGTCCTGGGTAACCATGCCCCGGGGGTGGGGGTCTACTCTTGTGTCTCAATAGAATCAGCCTGAACTTCTCCATTTGCTATTCAGGTAGATGGGGTTAGCTACCTACTTCAGGAGATCTACGGAATTGAAAACAAGTACAACACACAAGATTCGAAGGTAAGTTTCATGCAAAGTTCTGAATGTTCTCTTCCTGGGAGGCAGGATAAGAACCACTCTGCCCAAGCCAGGATGGAGGAATTCAGTGAGCCAGCCTCTGGGATCAGGTCCTAGAGGGTATTTCTTTCTTTCTTTTTTTTTTTTTTGGTACTGGGGATCGAACTCAACACCTTGCGTTTGCGAGGCAGGCAGTGGAACCACTGAGCTAAATCCCTGGCCCTAGAGGGTATTTCTTATTCCTCATTTCAGGTCACCATGCTTCTATCAGTGTGGAAATGAGAAAAATAAGCTGGGTTGGATTTGTTTTGCTCTGGAACTCTTTCGAACTCCCTTTCCTGGGAGAGTCTTTCATTATCCCTTTACCTTGATCTTTGGGGGGCCCTAGGTCCCCTCAGCTCAGACTGTCCCAAGGCCAGCACTGGACCTCAGAGGATAAGCTTGGGAGTTAGTCCCTGCTCTCAGCTTCAGAATCAGTGGGACTCAGCCAGTGAGAGCTGGGCCATGGGGAGGTCCCGTGTCAGTGTGGAGTCCATTCTCATTACTGGTATCACCCCTTAGCCGAGCTGCCTTGTCAGTCAGGGAGGCCTTTGTGTCACTGGCTGCTTTTCTATCTCCCTGGCCAGGTGGCCGAGGATGAAGTAAGTGATAACAGTGCGGAGTGTGTGGTGTGTCTCTCCGATGTCCGGGACACCTTGATCCTGCCCTGCCGCCACCTCTGCCTCTGTAACACTTGTGCAGACACCCTGCGCTACCAGGCCAACAACTGCCCCATCTGCCGGCTGCGTAAGTCCTGAGCCAGGCTAGGAGGGGCTGCGGGAGTGTGGGAAGGACTTTGCGGAATATCAAGACACGTGTGGCTGCTGGACTAGCGAACTGATGGATGTGGGAGGGATCATCGTTTCGGTGTGGGCCCTTGTTCACCCTTAATCCTGCAGCAGGATGTCCTGACGGCCTGTTTTATTCTTCCCAGCCTTCCGGGCACTGCTTCAGATCCGCGCCATGAGGAAAAAATTGGGCCCCTTGTCCCCAACCAGCTTTAACCCCATCATTTCGTCCCAGACATCTGACTCAGAAGAGCATTCAGTAAGTTGGGCTCAGCACCAGGCCCCCTCTGAAGCAAATGCATGCCAGTGTTCTCGCTGGCTTTTTCCTTTTGAAAATTCTTCTCATCCTTTCTACATGGCACTGCAGCAAGGACTTCAATCTGAGCATGCTGAAGGATTTAGTAGGCTGGCTAAGATCATGACAGCTAAAACAGCTGATATTACAACAGAAAGTTGAATACTCGACTGGACATTAAAACCTCCCTTTCCCTCCTTGGGAACTTGGTGTCCAGTTAATATTTACATTCCTAGAGCCATCTGCTTGCAGAGAACTCCAGCAGGGTCCAGCTCTGGAACTCCCCCAAGCAGAACAAGGGGATGATTGTTTTGGATTTGAATACAATTTACTATCTTTATTTGAATCCTTGAAGAAGGTAACTTTTCTTTATCTCATTTCACGGCTTCAGTGACTGGAAGCCAAGTCAATAGGACAACCAGTCTGTGTCTCAGTGTAAGTGCTCAGTTTAGGTTAAAACCTGGAAACTTTGCAGTTATAGAATAGCAGGCATTGTCTTTCTTTAGATTAACCCATGATGGGAAAGATTTATTATTCAGTAAAGAGTAGTGAGATAGTTAGCTATTTAGGGAGAAAAAATCAGTTTAGTACTTTAACCTGTTCCAGATAACAAATTCCAGATAGAGTAACTAGCTAACTATGTTAAAAGCAAACCAAAGGACCCAAGTTCGATCCCCAGTACCAAAAATAAAAAAAAATAAAAGCAAACCAAACCAAAGATTATAAACCTAGAATAAATTATAGGCAATTTTTTTCAAGACAGAGTCTCGATTTGCAGTTCGGGCTGGTCTTGGACTCACAGTGACCCTCTTGCCTCACCCTCCCAAGCTCTGGTATAGGCAGTTATTTAATTGATTTGGACGGAGAAGGACCCTAACCTCACAAGCAATGGAAAGCTTTTTTTTATAAAAAATCTGTAGATTTGGCCACATATAAAGTTTAAAACATCAGAGTTCTAAAATGTGACCAGACCAGGCATGGTGGTGCACATCCGTAATCCAGGGAGGCTGAAGCAGGAGGATCGCTGTGAGTTCAGCCCAGCCTGGACTACAGAGTGAGACACTGTCTCAAAAAAAAGATGACCAAATTAAAAAGAAAACAAATTCTTTAAAACTGCTTACAACATATGTATGAGAGAAAAAACTAGTGTCTTTGCCATAGCTCATAAAGATAAAACAGTCAGTAAATGAGCAAAAAATATGTAAATAAATTCTTGCCAGACCTGGTGGCACATGCCTATAATCCCAGCACTTGAGAGGCTAAGAATGGAGGAGTGCTGCAAGTTCAAGGCCAGCCTGAGCTACACAGTGTGTTCAAGGCCAGCCTGAACTACATAGCAAGACCCTATCTCAAAACAAATCAAAATTCTCAAAAGAAGAAATACAGATGGTTAATAATCACCTTTAAAAAGTTCCACTAGGCCTGGCGCTTTAGCTCAGTGGCAGAATACTTGCCAACCATGTGTGAGGCCCTAGGTTTGATCCTCAGCACCGCCAAAAATAAACAAAAATTTAGCCACATTAAATATCATCATTGTGCAAATTAAAGTGGTATACACATTTTTCATCTTTCAAATTTAAAAACTGTCCTTTTTAAAGATTCTCCATGCTGGCAGAGGAATAATCAAGATAGGTATTCTGTAGTGCTTATAGGAGAGTATAACTAGAAAAGTCATCAAGAAAACAGAACAAAACATTTATACCAAGTACTGTAATCTAAGGCCTAAAAATTCTTAATACCACGAAGGGCCGGGGATTTAGCTCAGTGGTTATGTCGCCTATCTTGAAAGCTCAAGGACCCGAGTTCATTCCCCGGTACCAAAAAAAAAAAAAAAAATGTAATACCAAGAAAATAACCTGAAAAAGTTTCATTCATGTTAAGCAAGTGTTCTACAACTGAGGAGAGCCTGAAAAAGATTTATATACAAGGATGTTCATCAGATTGTGTTTATTTACAGTAGGATGTGTTGAACACAACCTAATACCTAGCACTAGTAGTTAGGAAACTGACTATGCCTATGAAAAGGGGCTGTCTATGAAAAGAAGTCTCAAATCTATCAAAAAATATTTATGTTGAGTAAAATAAGCAGGATATAAAATTGTCATTTACAGATTGATCATAAACAAGCAAACAGTATAAAGACAATAATTGGAATACTTAACAAAAGTTACTTTGGGTGATTGATTATTGGCAGTGTTTTTCCCTTCTACTTTTCTGTATCTTCCAAATTTCCTGTAATGATTATTCATGTACTTTATCATCAGAAAAAAATACACATTATTAAGAAAAAGTTCACCAGTGAGCAGAATCTAGGAGTGTGTGACTGACATCTTATCTTCCCTCTGTGTCTAGTACAGAAGCTTTTCTTACAGACCCTCAAAACCCAACGGAAAGAAAACATTTTTTAGCATCCAGTAGGAAGCATGATGCCATTAAACAAAAAGTACTTAAGTAATTTTTCATCCTGTCTCTGATTCCCCTAGTCCTCAGAGAATATTCCACCAGGTTACGAAGTGGTGTCTCTTCTGGAGGCCCTCAACGGACCCCTTACCTCGTCACCAGCAGTCCCTCCACTTCATGTGCTTGGAGATGGCCACCTCTCAGGAATGCTGCCTTCTTATGGCAGCGATGGCCACCTGCCCCCCGTCAGGACACTCTCCCCTCTCGACCGCCTGTCTGACTGCAGCAGCCAAGGACTCAAGCTCAAAAAGAGTCTCTCCAAGTGAGTGGGCCAGGCGGGGCTCAGCAATGTGGCCCTGGTCCTTGATGAGAAGCTTTCCCGCCACCGCTCCCTCCTTGTGCTGGTCACATCCTAGGCCCAAGGCACAAAGTGGACCCTTTCGCTGTCCACCACTGCTCAGTCTCTCAGAAGCCCTGAGGGGAGCCTTGGGGGGACAGTTACCACTCTCTAAGAGATGGAAATAAGATGTGTGGGAGGACTTAAGGGAATTCTCCTCAGACCTCTCCTGTGTTTGTGGGCAGGGAATGGGATCCAGGGAAGAGGAGGTGAGTACTGAGACAAGGCCTCTCAGGCCCTGGGAGCGTGGCTTCGTCTGAAGACCAAAGAAACCTTGTGACTGTCTCTCCAAAGTGTTTAAGTCCATTGGGCACCATTATACCCCAGTTTCTGTGGCACAGTGAAGAAGGGGGTTTTACATATGAAGTCTTGAGACCTGGGAATGCCAGTGGCTTTCCCCAAGTTCAGGCAGCAAGTCCAGGCAGGTGCTAGAAGCAGAGAGTCTCTATCCCTCCTTGGCGCTCCTCTCACCTCCCTTCCAGCTCTGAGACTCCCCTGGTGACCTCCTCCTCCTCTTCCTGGGTAAGAAGAGTCAGGCCAGCTCTGGGCTCTAAGTGGATGTTGGGTACAGCTGCTCTTCCCTCTGGACTTTTACAGATCCATTTCACAGAATTCTTCCGTGCTGCATGAAGAGGAAGAAGAACGCTCCTGCAGTGAGTCAGAGACCCAGCTCTCTCAGAGACCGGCTGCTGCTCAGCATCCCGGAGAGGTAGTGTGCTTTCTTCTCCCTCCCTGGGGGCTGGCCGCTAGCACCGACCTCATGCCTGCCCAGCCTCTCAGGTCCACTTCACTCATCAGACGCCTTTCACCACCTTCCAAGGAGCAGCCGAAAAGGCTTCGTAAGATTCTCATTCGATTCACAGCACACAGAGCCTGTTTATTCCCCAGGCTCTCTCCTATATGCTGAGGTGGCAGCAGTAAGGAAAGCACAGCAGCCCCTGCCCTTGGGTCACCTCTGTGCTTATGACTTGGGATGGGGATGAACACAAAACACAAAGTGAAAAGTGTACATGCACCATGGAGTGTGGATCGGAGTCAGATGGGAGAAGGGAGTGTGGAGGCCGGAAGAGGGGCTCAAATGCTAGAACTATATGTGGCACATCGTTATTGCCCATTTCTTGAAAGAATGAGTTTTAACTCTAGAATATAAGAGCACCCAAAACAGAGACCCTAAAATGTCATGATAGAGATGTACGAGATTTCGTTGAGTGGAGGAAATCAGAAAATATGTGAGAGGAAGCGTTTGAGCTGAATCTTGGGATGTTCTGGACCTGAGAGGAAAGGGAAAAAAACCATCCAGGTGGAGGCTTGGAGCAGGCAGGGTTGCAGCAAGAGCTCTGCCTCACAGAGCCCCGCCTCACAGATACATGCAGACTGGGTTAGGAACAGACGAAGCCAGGAAGCGGCCAGTGCCCCAAGTGAAGGAGGCCTGCCTGGAGAAGGAATGGATTGTAGAGAGTGGGTAGGAGGACTTCGCTTCTGCCTGGGGTGGCTAGGCCCTGGGCCTGAGTGACTGGCAGGTGGGGGGTGGGGCCAGGGTGTTTTTTGAGATGGATTGGGTAAATTCCACTCAGCCGACATCCATGTAGAAATGTCCTGCAGGCAGTGAGCCCCTGCTGGTTTTATGTGCCTTTGCTTTGGGAGGAAAGCTGTTCTTAATCCTGGGGAAGCCGGGGGTGTCCCCATGTCACAGCTGCTGGGTGGCCAGTGTCACTGGAGCTGCAGTCTTTGTATGGCTTCAGCAGATGCTGGGCCGAAGGCAGGAGGTGCTGACTGAAGTTTGCACCTCCCCTGGGAGCCAGTCGCTCCAGACCCACACTGAAGAGGGGTGTTGACAGGAGAGAAGCCAGCACTGGCTCTCATGTCACTCCAGTCCTCCACAATAAGGGACCTTGTCCCTTCCGGTGTCTCCTTTCCTCCTGGTCCCCACCCAGCCCCCTGTTCTTACCCTGTTCCTCCAAGACCCTTGATTTGACCCTCCTCCATGTCCCATTGTGTCCCTCACCCCCAGGAATGTGGCGTAACTCCAGAAAGTGAGAATCTCACCCTGTCCTCATCGGGGGCTGTTGATCAGTCTTCCTGCACAGGGACCCCGCTGTCATCCACCATTTCCTCCCCGGAAGGTATGAGGGAGCAGGGAGCAGCTGCACGTGCCAGTGCCTCAGCTGGGGACTAACCTGGGCCAGCTGGAGGAGGCTTACTTCTCGCAGGCCCAGTACTGTGCCTGAGACAAGAGGTTTTAGCTCTGTGAGATAGAAGAGCAGAGTTTTGGGAAACTAAGTCAAAGCTCTAGAGGGAGTGGGGGAACAGCAACATGAGGTTACTGTACTCCTCATGGTCTGAATACAGGGAGGGAGATCCACTCCTCGGTACCCTTGACCCATCTTCCTCCAACCCCTGTCTCGAAGACCCCGCCAGCAGCAGCCTGGCCCAGTCTGTCATGTCCATGGCATCCTCCCAGATCAGCACCGACACAGTCTCCTCCATGTCTGGCTCCTACATCGCCCCTGGCACTGAAGAGGAGGGAGAAGGCCTCCCTTCCCCCCGGGCAGCAAGTAGAGCCCCCTCCGAAGAAGTGGAGGTAAGGGAAGGCCATGTGCATGTGTATCCAGCATTGCTTCATCAAGGGTTGGTCAAAGCTGGCTGCAAGGCCTGGGAAGGGAGGGGTGTGGGGAGGGCCCTTTCAGAGAGCACAGTGTACTTTAGATCTGACTCTTCCTGGCACCAGTTCTGTGCTGGGGAAGGCCTAGTCTTGGGTTTACTGTCATGCCAGCTTTATAAGAGAGCCCATAATAACTGTGCCCGTGGGCTTTGTTGCTCTTTTGCAGGGGATGCCAGCTGAGTCTCCAGATAGCAGCTTTGCTGGCCTCCCCGCCGGAGAGCAGGATGCAGAGGTAACCTCACTGGCAGACAACAGCAGCCCTTCCCAGAGCCAAAAGAACTACTGGCCTTGGCTGGGGATGCCAGCAGGGTGGGAGTACTGAAGAAGCCTTCTCGGGTGAAGTGGGTAGATGTAAGGGCAGCCACACACTTGGGCCTGGGCACTGTCTGGGTAGTAGGGGCACTGATTCCAGCATGATTGGTGTGGAGTGAGTACAAGAGGGACTTTATCGTGCCAGCCCCTGGGCCTCAGGAATGTGCTGTCCTTTGTCCATCTGGTGAGTGTTTACACAGGGATGCTGGGTTGTAGGTGCTCCCCTGTGCTGGGGCACACAGGCCACTGAGGAAAGAGATGGCTGCCTGCCCCACTCTCAACCCCTCCATCCAGGAGCCCCAGGCAGGCGCACGCGGGCGTCACCTACCATTGAGCATGAGGAGTCCCCTAAGCATAGGTATATGCAGTGCTGTGCCTCCTTTGGCTTAATTTTTCTTGAGCCACATCCTCTCAAAGGATATCGGGATGGAATTTGGGAACCTAAGGAGTTTCTGAAAGTTTTACCATCTCACAGATTGCTTTTTCAAATAACTTTTATTTCCACCTTGGAGAATCAGTGTCAGCTAAGGTCTTAGCAACGGTATTTTTTTAATTAAAAAAAAATATTGTTTTTGGAGACGGTCTCACTTTGTAGTCTCAGGCTGGCCTCAAACTCAGTACAATCCACCTGCCTCAGCCTCTGAGTGGTGGGATTACAGGTGTGCACCACCATGCCTGGCCAAAAGGGTATTTTGGCAGACCCTTCTAAGTAATTATCTACCAGTGTGGCTCAGACCTGGTCCCCACAGACTGATGGAGCCTCCCCCAGCCTCCTTGGCATGTCAAATGTGGTTGAGAAATGTACACTGTGGACATAACCCATGGAGTTAGATACCTTGGGGATAGCTCCTCTTCTGACAGCTTTGTTAGACTCATAAGCCCTTCCTTCTGTCCCAGGGGAATGACATCATAGAGGAAGAAGATGGCTCTCCCATGCAAGAAGATGGTAAAAGACCTGGTCCTTTGCTCCGTTGTATTTGTGTCTCTCCTGGGTATTCTCTAAGGGTAAAGAAAGGAGAACTGCTGTGAGTTGTTGGCAATGCTCAGTTGAGTGGCTGTTGGGGGAACAGTTGTGTTCATGATGGTATATCAAGGCAAGCAGCATGTTGATCACCTCAGTGACCTTCCCAGATCCTTCTGAGACTCAGAGCCCCGGGGTGGGGATGAGGATACTGCAGAAGACACTCCTGGTTCTGCCCGTGAGGTCAGTAGACCCCGAGCTTTTGGCCACTTATGCCTGCCTCCTGCTGCAGCTCTCTAGCTGAGCCCACAGAGTTGCCCTGGAAGCTGTCTGAAAAGCAGCAGCAGTCTTCCAGGCAGGAGGCAGGACTGTTTAGCACCTTGTCTGATTTTGCTTTAGTGGAAAAAATGACTGGCATCACTGTATGGGGGACCTCAGGAGGCAGCACACACCAAGAGTGTGGCCAAGGGACCATGTGGCTTTCTTCAGCAGCTCAGCCTAGGCAAGAACTTTGTAAGCACCATAGTGATGTCTTTGCCATAGTTCAGGCATCCGTTACGTCTCCTGTTGGACGAATTTGTTGCCAGAGAGGCTAGAATAGAAGGAATGCCTGCAGGGTAAGGAAGGAGGGAGAAGGAAAGGCAGGAGAAGTCACACCACCTATCCCAGGAGCCAGACTTCCTTCCCTCTCTGCCCTGGGCCTCCTCCCGAGCAGACCTTCCTCGGCCTGAACACAGTTGCGCCAGCAGAGGTCATCCTAGTTGCTTCTGCTTCAGCGCTGGCCATTGCTTGGGTGTGTCAGGGTGTGCATGCAGACTTGACAGCTCTCGCCAGCCAAGACCTGGAGAGAGGACAGCCACTGGGGCCAGGCCCCTCCTGCTCCTGCACACCAGCCCAGGGCTTGAAGCTTTACAACCTCAGCAGATGATTTCAGTTTCCCAGGTCCAGTCACCCTGGGCAATGATTCCCCAAATGGTTCCTTCTCTCCCTTTGACCAGGAAAAAAAAAGGGGGGAACTCTAAAAAAATTACTTCTACTTTCCCTTTACCCTCTTACATGTCTGTAGCTTTCTGGGCAGTCTCTGAAAACATACTCAAAATAACAACTTTGGTCTCATAAGAAAATAAATCATAATTTTGTGAATGTGGTCAATCTGATTTGATATACAAAATTATGGAACCAAAGGCCTTGAGTTGTTGTTGTATGTGTTTACCGTGTTGCAGAGCCTTGTGGTCATAAACACCCTGCTCACACCGCAGACAGCCGCCGGCATGAGCAGGGTGTCACCACCCAGCTTTCTCCAGCTTCTGCAGCCATGGTGTCCGAGGCCTGGACCAGGGATAGCTGCCCTCTCTCGTGGTTTCTATCTAGCCTGAGCCCCACAATCCTCCACAGGGATCTGAATTAGGAAACAACAGCTAGAAAGGGCCCAGTTAGGGAAACACACCAGGATGGCACAAGAACCTAGGTGTGCCCACATGATTTGATTCCTTTTTTGTCCACACTTTACCCACTTAATTATTGTCTTTTTTTTAACATATGATTTTATTTTTTGTCTCCATCCTTAAGATTTTTATTTTAAGGACAGCAAAGCAGAGAAAAACACAGCCAGCCCCTCTCTAACTGCCTTAACTCCGTTACAGGCCAGAGGACATGCGCATTTCTAGGTATGGAGTGTGACAATAACAATGACTTTGACATCGCAAGCGTGAAAGCACTGGACAATAAGCTGTGCTCTGAGGTCTGCTTACCCGGTGAGTGGCAGTCTGCTGACATGAACTTGGTGGGAGACGTCCCTCTATTCTAACCCTGGTCTTACCTGTACACCTGGGTCCTGCCCTCCAGTGCCTGCCAAGAAGGCTAGGGCTATGGAAGGTGCTAGAGACAGCTGCGGAGAGGAAGTGAGAAGGCTCAGGAGAGTCCCTGAGCTTTTACAGGGAGTGACTCCTGCTCTCAGAATAGTGGAATAGGAAAATTCCTCTTCTGATTTGGCCTAAGCGTGCCCCTCTATCACGATCTTGCACATCCCATGTCAGCTAGCCCGTCTTATGTTCAACAGGAAGTTTGAGCAAACAAACACCCCTCCATGAAGGTCTTGAAAAGTTAATCTGAGCCTTTTAAAAGTGAAACTATAGGGCCGGGGATTTAGCTCAGTAGTTTTGCCGCCTGCTGCGCAAGTGCAAGGACCCAAGTTCGATCCCCAGTACCAAAAAAAAAGTGAAACTGTAGGGCCAGGGATTTAGCTCAGTGACACTGTGCCTGCCTCGGAAGCACAAGGTCCTGAGTTCAATCCCCAATACCAAAAGAAAAAAAAAAGTGAAACTGTAGCTCTTCCAAAGACAGGTAGGAATTCCAGTTAGGATCAGAAAAGAATTTGAGAGCCAGCATTACAGGCCATGAACATCTTTGCAGTCCAGTGAGCTGTAGGTTCCCAGTTTTTGTACCTATTAGATTTAGATTAGATTTTTGTACCTGTTAGATTTAGATCCCAAAGAAGAGGCCTGCTGTCTGGACCCCTAACTCTAAATTCGACCAGGTTGGGGCAGAGATTTAGCTCAGTGGCGCTGCAAAAGCACAAGGTCCTGAGTTTGATCCCCAGTACCAAAAATAATAATAATAATACTAAATAAAGTAAATTTGACCAGGTTGTCAGTCGCCCCTGTTCCTTTTTACTGTCCTAAATTGAACCTGGGATAACTTCCTATCAAGCAACCATGTTAATCACACTTTGAGCACTGACCCCGTATGCTCATTCACAGGCTCCAAGAACCACTTCTTTAAAAGTCAGGTCTTGGCAGGGGATTTAGCTCAGTGGTGCCGCTGCCTTCCTTGAAAGTGCAGGGTCCCGAGTTTGATCCCCAGAACCGAAAAAAAAAAGTCAGGTCTCACTCAAGTGGACCAGGTCACACGTGCCCTCCTGGTTCCACTGCAGAGGTTGTCCTTCCCACTGTGGTGCTGTAATCCTCTCCAGCAGTCTTTAGTGAAGACCTGCTGCAGCTTTGGAATAGCCCTCCTGGGTCCAGTGCTTTACTCGCTCGGCGAAGTGGCTGGAGGTATTGGAGCCACATGACCTGCTGTGGTTGCCACTCTCCATCAGCCTGTGCAGACACGGTCCCAGCAGGCCCTGGCCCCATGCAGGCTTGTGGCAGGGAAGCCAGAGGGCTCCGGAGATGCTTTTTCCAGCCTTGCAAAGGGCACTTTGATCATCTCTATTTTGTTTGTCCTGAAGATACTGCCAAGGTCTCTTAATCTTCCACCAGGCCTGAGGAGGCAGTATCAGTTCCCCCGCTACTCCTGCACAGGCCCAGGACAGACCCTCTCCAGCCTGAGCATGGAGGAAGGGCATTGACCCTTGTGGCTGCCTCCTGCCCAGTAGGCCTGGACCGGGGCTGCTGGGTACCAGGGCACACTTACCCCTACCCTCCCACTCCTGACCTTGCTTCTGTCTGTCCATCTATGTTTCACGTCTTTTTGCCAAATGTAGGTCTGTCTGTCTGTTTCTTTTTTTTCCACTCATTTATGTTCCGGCTTTGTGTGAAAGTTCATGTTCACTCTGTGCCAGCACTGTCTTCCCTGCTCTGCTCAGCCTAGCCCCGAGCTTGCTGACGTGTGCACACTGAGGGCTCTCGCATAGGGCTGCAGACAGCTTTCTGTTCCTAACTGGCAAGGGCCTGTATTCAATTGCCTAAGATTTGCCAAGAAAAAATACTTGTGAGAATATATTTCTGTTCAGCAAAAATGGGCATGCTTCCATGGTGAGGATTATGGAGAGGATTTGTTTTGAATTGGCATCCTTGGCCAATTGCTGGGTGAAGATGGTACCTGTGCCTAGCTCTGCCTGTCTCTGTGGCAGTTCTCTGCCAGCCAGCCTCTCCCTTCAAGGGCTCCCCACACATCCCTGCTTTGGGGCAGAGGGAGTTGCTGGGAACTATTTAAGCCAACAGTGCTGGTGCAAACTGAGTTTATTCTTTTTCTTCTTCCTAACTCCCTCCACTCAGCCTGCGTGTCCATATGTACTATACTCACAGGATTGTGGGGGGGCAGCAAGACCAGAAAGGAAGAAAATGGCCCTGGGCTTCCTATGGTGGCTTCTACAGCCAGTGACTTTGGGATTAAACTGGGTTCACAGTGGGCCAGACAGGAATGCAGATACCTGTGGTAGCTGTTGAGAGAGGATCTCAGGCATAGACAGATGCTTTAGTGTCCATTGTGTCCTCAGCAGAGGTCCAAGGGATATTCATGGAGGGCGAGGATGCATCTGGTGTCTTGGGAAAATGTTTCTCCAGCTCTGCTGTTAGTGTCACCCCGTCAGCAAAGCACTGGGAGACTCTGGAAGTATCTGTTGCATCAAAGATAGGAGAGTCCACTTTGGTAGGCACCATGGACTAAGCAGGGTCTTCACACTCAGCTGTGGGGTCACCCGTCCATCTGACCGTGACAGACCATAGGCTGGCTTGGCTCCTTGCTGCTCCTGTGGGCAGTGTTCTCCTCCTTCAGGAAGGCTGCTTGTGCACATAATCCCTGCTCAAGCCTGTTTCTCACAAAGTAGATGCCATCCCTTCACAGAGGGCCACTGGGGGAGCAGAGCCCAGGGCAACACCCCACACTGGCCCTGTGCACCATACCATGTTCTCGCCAACCACTCTGCCCAAGACGCATCCTCAACACTCAGCTCACACTTGTGACTTAGAGGATGCCTGTCTCATTCCAGCCCCTCTTCCCCCCAAAATTGCCCAGATCTTCTGCAGCCCCACATTCCTCACAGTGGGGGTGACATGTTCTGAGATTGCTTCTGAGAGGTCCTCAAGGGGGGGTGTCTGAGCTGAGAGATGTAGGTGGTAAGATTGGAATTGTGGGCTAAGTTGATATGATTCCAGGGAATGTGGTGGGGTGTTACACAGATGGCTGAGTGATGGGGGCAAGTGACAGTTCTGGGGAGAGGCTCTGGGATGCGTATGTGATAGAAAGAGGCAAGGATAATGGGGATTTAGTGGAAATACAAAGATCTTTAAATGACTGCATTGTACAGGAGTGGGCATATCCAATGAAATCTAAAAATACTTCTGGACACCTCCTGACTTCACTCGTGCCTTTGGGCCTCATAACCCAAGACTGAGATGGTACGAGGAAAGTTTGCACTTTATGGACACTAAGGGAAAAAATCCAAATTAAGTGTTTCTTTTCCCATGGAGAGAGACTCAACAAAGACAACTGAACTCTTATAACACTTAAACTTAATTAGTGGCTTACAGAGACAGGAAAGGGGTATGCCAGATCTCCCTAGTGCTCCTGGAATCTGCCTCTGGAGGGCTCTTCATTCTCCCATTTCTGATTCCTCAAATGGAATAGGATGGAAACCACATTTGTCCATCTCCCTTGAGGGATTTCAAGTCTCTCCAAGCTCTGTTTTCTGGCTGGAGGGCCCAGGAGCCCAACTCAATGGCAGCCCTCAAAAGGGGCTGAGAGGGGCACCAGCAGGGTCTGCTGTGGGCCCTTCAGCTCCTCCTCGGGGAGGGGACCTCATTCTCCTGCCCCATCTCCCCTCAGTACAGAGACTACCCTTCAGAGTCGCTCTGTTCCATGGGAGCTCATTTGTAGCCCTGGCTAAAACTTCAGAATGGTAGAGCTTGGTCAGGGCCTCCTGTGAGGTCGGTCTAGATGGCCCCCCGGGCAGCCTCTCAGACCCAGCGTCTCGGCGTGGTGTGCAGCAGTGGTGGCGCTGATGGTGCTGATGCCGGTGCTGCTGTTTTTATTTGTACGTGCATGTGTGTCTTCTCTCTTGTTTACCATTTGCTTTTGGTCTTTCCTACTGAACAGCCGCAGTTCCGGAGTCCTGCCCCATAAACATTGAGGAATAGGTATGACATCTACCAAATTATATAAATGAACAAGCAACTCATTTTATTTGGGGTTCCTACCTGAACAGGCAGTATGAGCACTGCCTGATTTTCCTCCTGCCACACTCTGGAGTGCCACCCTCAGAGGGGAAGGAACACCTGTGAGTTGTGTCTCGGGGAATGGAGTTGCCGCTGGCAGTTTGTGTGAAAGACACTGAGACCTGCCTGATAACTTCCTTCCCTGCCCTGGGCTGCCACACCAGGACCATTACTTCAGCCTCAGGACAGATTACTAGGCCAGGGTGTTGATGGGAAAATGAGCTGTTTGGACCTGTTCCATCTCAGTGCTTGGGCCGTTAAAGGGATTTGAGTCTTGGGTCTTGGGCTGGCTGAATTTGAGGCTGACCCCCCGTCACTGTGAGTGGCCTCAGGACAATGCTCTAGAGTCAGCCAGCCTTAACCACCAAAGGAGCCCTCCAGTGGGCAAGGTGCCCTGCAGGGCCCTGACAGGTGATAGTAAATGTGCCAGGCCCCCAACGAGGAGGAGCTGTGTGACAGGGGAGTGGAAAGGACCACAGTTTCCATAGTGCAAGGAGAGAAGTGGGGTTTGGGCTGTTGGGGGGCACACAGGTTCTCATCTGGCTGGAAGGTACCTTGGAAGGGGAGGCCACAGGGTCCACAGGACAAACACAGCCTTCTACAACCCCAGGGAGCCAGGCTTCATCCCCAGGCTGGAGTGGCTGGGGCCCTGCCTTTCCTGGCAGAAGGAGCTCTCCAGCTGTCCTGGAGGGAAAGAACAGGAGACAGTCTGCTGGCTGGAGGACAATGCAGGGGAGACGTGAGGGTGCCCTGACAAAGCTGTGGGGTCCAATTCCTGAGTACACTCTGCCCAGCACAGTGCGCATGACTCCCGGGTCCTCTCCACACCCATGAGGGATGTTCTCGCCTTCTGTGGGGTGGCTGAAAAAGCCCAGGATCAAAGTAAAGTGACCTGCCAAGCTCACACAGTCCGTACATCGTAAACTAGGTGGGAAGTCCAGGTAGGTGTGATAGCAGGTGAAGACATAACTAGGAAATTAGCAAACAGGAAGTGCTGGTGAATTGGATGCGGAGCACAAAATGGAGGGAGGTGCCAGAAGTGGGTTTCCAGCCTGGACACATTCAGGGAGATTCAGGGAGGAGAATGAGCAGAATAGGTGGCTCCTGGGGGACCCCAAGGCCTTTGGGCAGTGTTTCCTGGGTTGATGGCACCAACACCTGCTGCTGAGTCCAGGAGAAGAAAAGCAGTAATGGGGGGGGGGGAACCCAGAGCATCACATGGTCCTCCCACCACATGCTTTCTTGTCCGTGGCATCCTGTTAGATGGTCAGCCCCCTCCTGCCCTCTTGGCTTCCATAGCAAACTCTGGAGGCTTGGGCAGAATCAGTATGCTCCTCACCCCTCCCTCACTCTGCCTGCCCTGGGGGAAATAGCTCAGTGAGGTCCACTTTCCTTTTCCTTGTCAACTATAATGTAAACAAACTCCAGAACCAAATAATTCAGATACAAAAGTGGACCCTAGGGGAAGATCACAAATTATCCCTGCCCTGTCCTTCTCTGTCCATGGACCACAGTAGCAGTGACTACCTAGCCCAGGGGCAGGAGCAGCCCTCACACATGTTGGCACCTGCTTCTCACAGATTATGGCTTGCACTTAGGAGTCTTAGATCACATGAATCCTGCTAGCTTTCGTGTCAAGCTGCCAGGCTGCCCCACTGGATACACCATGTGGATGTGGCCCAAAGTCTGGCTCCTGTAACCTTAATTTCCTCTCCTCCAGGTACCTGGCAGGCTGATGACAACAGTGTCAGTCGGCTAAATACTCAGCGCCGGCGCTTATCATCCAGCAGCCTGGAGGACCCTGAGGACAGGTCCTGTGTGTGGGGTCCTCTGGCTGTCTGAGAGCACCTGCCCTTCTCCCCAGGTGCCCCTTCTGTCCTTGCATTCCATCTGTCCTCACCGGATCACTGGCCTCCCGACACCCGCAGCAAGACACATGTGGACTTTGCATACACACGTGAAAGTTGGATGTGGAGTTCAACCCACTCTGTCTCCCAGCCTCATCTCCTGTAACCTTGATCCCTCCCCCTCAAAAGGGACCAGAGCCCTCCTTCCTCGTGGGTTGATGCCACCCCATGAACTGCAGCTTGTGAGACCCTCCACAGAGACTCTGGACTGCGTCTGCTGCCCTCATGGACAGGTGGAGCTAAGGGCCAGGGGCTGTTTCTTCCACATTTTTTTCTCCTTAGGGGGCAGACCAAGCAGACTGAAGAGTTTTGGCAGCTTTGTTACAAACACCCATCTGACAATTTCTGGTCTCTGGCTCCTCATAACCAATTTGAAACCTCCATTCTGGGGTGGTCAGGGGATGGCTCATGTGAAAAGGCGGGACAGTCTTGTGATAAGTGTGGAGTTTCCCTCTCAAAGCGTTAAGAGCTCTGCTCTCAAGGATGAGGGAGATGGTGACAACCAAAAGGCCTTCTGGAGCAGACCTGATCTCTTGTCTTATGTCTGCTTTAGAAAGAGCCCTGAATCCAAGACCCCAGTTAGGATGACTCCCTTCTGGAGTCCTTTTCCTGATCAGGTACCTTTATGAAGGCCTGGGACTCCATCCAGAGGCAAAATTTTAAGGGCATTTCTGGGCCATCTCTATGTACACAGTGCTAGGGCTATTGTATATTTCTTCTTCATTACAGCCCTGTGGGGGGAGTCTGATTCCTATGCTGCCATCTCCATCCCTTCTTTAAATGTTGAAGAAATAGGCTAAGAGAAGTGTGAACCAGCAGTTCTTAAACCAGTGCCCAGAACCACCGAGGGAAGTGTGGGGAACCCTGAGCTCAGTCAGTCCAGGCAGTAGCCCAGGGCTGTAAGTAGTGGCCTAGAAGCCACAGGACCTGCACCTTGAGAAACTCTTCCTTTGTTTTCCTTTCCTGCCTTCAAGATATGCTGAGAGTGAGAGGTGAAGAGGAAGGTGGAGCCTTCCAATCTGCATACAAATGAAGCCTACAGCAGCAAGGCTGGCTGGGAAGTTGCTGGGTATCTCACCTCTCTCCTCAGTGGGATCCATGTGGCTCTTGCATAGATGTTTTTTCCAGTGGCTTTTCGAAAAGGTGGTTTAGTGGGACATGAGATTATTTGGGAAGCAGTTAGAAATAATTACTTGTGAGGGTGACGTATGGGGGAGCCTTAGGCTGTGCCCACTATATTAGGATTTGCAGTTGTTACCCCAGAAGAGCTTGCCCAAAAAGAGCTCAGTGTACCAGGCATGGTAGCTCATGCCTGTAGTCCCAGCTGTTTGGGAGGCCGAGGCTGGAAGACTGCATGTTCAAGGCCAGCCTGGGCAATTTAGACCTTGTCTGGGGATGTAGCTCAGTGGTAGAGTGCTCCTGGGCTTGATCCCCAGTACCACCAAAAAAAGTGTACAAGAGGTCCTTGGTACCTTTTGTGAAGCTGCAGAGGCCAGGAGTGTAGTGATAGTCACACTGGCCAGTGGTTATGGCTCATGTCCTGTTCTGCTGGAGGAGAGCCTGCTGTCCTTGAAACAACAGGCCAAGCTAGAGCTCCCATGTTTATCCTCTCTGAACACTGCAGTGGACTGTGCCATTCTGTACCCCACCTAATGCCCTTTCCTTCCCTTGGCATTCTGACAGCTCTTTTCATATTTAAGACTTAAGCCAGTCTAAGTTGAGCAATAACCCCACTTCCTGATTTCCTTGAAGTGTGAACCCCAGAAGCAACAGGGAGCTTCCCTTAGCCTAGGGTGGTGGCACACAAACCCTCCTCCTCTCCCGGCAGGCAGTATTCACAGTGTGGTGTAACCGGGGAGGATGGAGGAAGTAGCTGAGATGAAGGAGATGTAGGTAAACAGTAGCTTCAAGGCCAGTAGATGCAGAGGAAGCAACCCTTCCTAGAGGATCTCTGTCCTCTTGCAGCCAGGCCTCAGGTCCCTAACCAACACACACTTGGGTTGGAGTGCACTTTACTTTGAGCTGCTCAGTGCCGCCCCCACCCCCCCACACCTCATTTAGCTATTGGCAGGCAGAAGTAATCCATCCAAAGGGATGGGCCTCTGTCACCATGATCAGGAACAGGTCAGCTGCCACCCTCCTGCCCCAGTACATCATTGGGGGAGTCAGACTGTCAGCATTTGCCCTGGGGTGGGGTGGGGGCTTCTGGAGGGCACAAAACTGACTGGAGGTACCTGTGGCTCTTCAGCCATACTACGTCTGCACTCTTCCATGGCCTGGACTGCAGTTGCAATCCTGGTTTCCTCACAAAGCCTTTTGGCCTTCTACCCATTTCCATCCACCAGAGTTTATTTACCACTGGGGCCTCTGGGCACAGACTCAAGCCCTTTAACCCATCTCACTGGGGAGATAGATCCCATCCACCTAGTGTTGGCATGCTGGTTGCTCACTCTGACCTAGGGCCTGCACACCTGGTGTGTGCAAACATGCGTGTGTGTACTGTTGGTGCCATCCATGTACTCCCTCACTCTGGAGTACTTTGTGAGCACACTTCAGTGAGGACACCAAGGATTCAATATTTATGGATTGCTGCATGATTCTTTAAAATGAATAAAACTGTTTACAAGGGAAGGAGAACTATTAACCACAAAGTGGGCTGATTTGTGCAAATTTCTGTCCAAGTTTCTCAGGACCACTTTAATATTTTTACTCAAGAGAATCTGGTGTTGGAGGAGCAGGAGAGACAAGGGGGAGGAAAATGCATGTTCCTGGCCTTCTGCATGGCTGTGGCACAAGGCCTCAGGCCTTGGCCTTTCGCTCCTAGGCAGAGCCCAGGCCCGACTTCTGCAGCCGCCTTTAAACTGGAGAACTTCCAACACTGCAGCTCCTCAATAATTAAAAAGTAGAAAAGTTGGTGACAGGAGGGAGGCTAGGGGAAGGGAGGAGGGACAGCCGGTCCCCAGTGTCCCTTAGTCTTAGTTCCTGTCACTTAAAAGGTACTGAAATTTACAGGTCAAATGACCCCGTTAGCAGGATTTGGTAGGTCAGCGACTTTTCCTTTTTTCTCCCTGGCTATGCTTCCTTGGCTATCTGAAAGGGAGAGGACCTCTACAGAACCCTCTGGAATGTTGGCTTCCCCGAGCCCTACGAGGATGGGAGGGAACGGAGCTGCTTACCGGGAGACTGGGGTAGCCTACCTGCCTTGTGTCTGCTCGCGGTGAGGCTGTTTCTGCAGATGTGAGCGGCAGGTGGCATCGGAGAGTCAGACCTGCCTGCAGGAACCATAGAGGACACAGGGTCGCGAGCAAGGGAAAGGCCGCAGAAACATGAGAAAGTGCCACTCAAGGCCCAGAGGAGAGGAAAGAAGACCTCAAGGATACGGTTCCTGGGACTGAGTCTGCTCCCAGCCTTGGCCCCCCGAACCCGGGCACGGTCCCGGGAGCCATGCACGCCTCCGAGCTGCCAGACCCAACACGGATAGGGGCGGGAGTGGCAGTTCTCCGGCGCGGGGACCAACGGCGGTTTTCGGGATCAGGGGTGGGAGTCGCGCGCCTCTCTGACCCCAGCGCGGGGCCCTCGGGCGGGAATGCGCGGGTCCCGGACGCAGTGGCGGGTAAGGGGGGGGGGGCTGGGTGGCGCGCGAGAGGTAGGCAGAGGCAGTTCGGAGAAGAGCGAGACCCCGCGATCTCCTTGGAGACGTGCTAGCCAATGGTAGCAGCAGAAGCTGTTTACGGGGGCGGAGCGTCACCAAGACAGCCCGAGAAGCCTTTGGAACGGCTACTTAACGCTGGTCCCCCGACCGGCCGCACTCCGAGAAGAGGCGTTGAGTGTGTGGGGGGCGTCGAAGGGCGCTGGCGCGGCCCTCGAGTCGAGCAAAGAGCCATAGAGTGGTGTGAGGAAGTTCTTTCAGAACCTTCCTCTGTCCAGGGCAGCGCTCTGAACCAGGTAAGGTACAGGAAGTACTACGGGCCGCGGGAAGGGGGGACATCTGTGCCAGGCCGCTCTCTCCTTCGTCCCCGAGGACGACCGAAGTAGTGGGTACAGGGAGTGACACCTGAGGAGTTTCGGGGAACTCCCCTCCGCCCACGTAACTGTCCAATTCTCTTCGCTTCTCATGACCCTCATTCTACCTAGTAGGTATCTCCTACCGAAAATCCGGCGACTTACCCCACCCCGGCCCGTGGTACCGCCCTCCAAGGCTCCTGGTCTGTCTTCATGTGTTGCGGGGAGGGGTCCTGACTTCCTGCTCCCCAAGAGGAAGGGATACCTTACTTTCTTTGCTCTTCCTCTGGTTTCTCTACCCATTTCCCTCGTGTGTCGCCCATAAAACCTCCAAGGGGAAAGGCAGAGAGACGGAGCGACGGAGGGCCGGCCGAGGGGAGGAATTTGGAAGAGCCCCCCCCCCCCGTATACAACACTCTCCACGCAGGGGTGGGGGTTGAGTGCTCAGTCCCACTGTTGTTTCTGCAGGCGCTGCGTTCATATTAGGAGGCGACCCCCGGGTCGCGGGATGGAAGCGCGCATCCGCGCGGCTGTGTAACTGAAGCAGCGGGTCGACAGCGCGGCGGGCACCCCGGCCCAACTCGTGGATATTGACCGCCCCCTCGGAGAGTCCCCGCAGATATGGCTGAGAGCTGGCTGCGCCTCTCGGGAGCCGGGCCGGCAGAGGAGACCGGGCTGGAGGGCGATCTGGAGGAGTCCAACGCCCTGGATGACAGCCTGACCAGCCTGGAGTGGCTGCAGGAGTTTTCCATTCTCAATGCCAAGGCCCCCACCCTGCCCCCGGAGGGGTCTGACCCCCATGACTACCACCAGGTGCCAGGTTCCGAGGCGCCTGGGTCCCCCCTGGCGGCAGACCTCGCCTGCCTGGGGCAACCGCACACACCTGGCAAGCCCACCTCGTCCTGCACGTCGCGGAGCGCGCCCCCGGGGCTGCAAGCCCCGCCCCCAGACGACGTAGACTACGCCACCAACCCGCATGTGAAGCCGCCCTACTCGTATGCCACGCTTATCTGCATGGCCATGCAGGCCAGCAAGGCCACCAAGATCACCCTGTCGGCCATCTACAAGTGGATCACGGACAACTTCTGCTACTTCCGCCACGCTGATCCCACCTGGCAGGTAAGGGAGACGCTGATGGTGGCCGCGCCCTCCCCACTCCTCCGCTCCACACTCCACTGGATGCGTGTACTAGATCTGCAAGGCCAAGGGGGCGGTCCTCAAAGGAGCCCATTCCAGGAACTGCCCCTCCTTTGACTTCCAGAGAGGGAAAAGGGACACTGTCCTAGGGGCAGAGAGCTTTAGGGGTGTAAATGGTGAGGTTTAAAGGGAAAGAATTCACACATTCAGCTGCCCAGGCCAAAGACCAAGGCTGGACTGTATGCAGACTAGTCTCCTGGGGAGGAGACAGCTGACAGCACATTCTTGTTGCCAGTCCTGGAATTCCTAGACACTATCCTGCTGGAGGACAGTTGGTCAGGGCTAGACTAAAACAAACCAGCTGCCCTCTCTGCTAGCCTCTGCATCCTGCCTTTTTTGCCCTTGGTTTGGGGAGAGGGACACAACAGGACGCTAATGGGTGTGATCAGCTGCCCTGTAGAGGGGGTCTGGGACCTTCCTAAAGCTGCTGTTTCAACCCTCACCTCAAGGCCTCCCCAGTTTCCTGCCTCATTCCCCCCTTCTCTGCCAGCTTCCCTGGGGGGACAATTACCTGAGCCAGGTGCTTTCCACAGGGGCTCTGCCGGCTGCACTGTCTTTGTGTTCCAAGTCTCTGGAACTGGCACAGAGCAGCCAAGGGGCCCAGGCCACCATGTAAACAGTCCAGCCTTGCCAGGGCACTGTCCAGCCACCTGCCTGCCACCCCACCTTAGACCCCTGTCCCCAGCATGAGTTGGACAAAACTAAGCACCCAAAAGTGGACAAGGCAGGAAGACGCTGGGGTGGAGGATGGGTAAACGTTGTCCAGAGAGTCTTCAACCATCAGGACCCAGGGCTAGTTGCAGATTGAGGTCTAAGGATGCTCACTCTTCCCTGAAGAACTCAAAGGGGACAGGCCACATGATCACAGTCCCAAGCCATCCTACGTGGCCCAGACACTGGGGCAGGAACCCCCACCCTCACCCTACCCTGGACCTTGGGGCTCAGGCTCCAAGAACAAGTCTTATACTCCAGACTAGGAAATAATCAACTGAGCCTGGGCTGGAAAGAGAGGGCCAGCAGCTGGCTCAACAAACAAGGAAAGTCACCAGATTTCCCCACCCCTCATGACTACACACACACACACACACACACACACACACACACGCGCACACACACACACACACGTCTATGGTTGCCCAGCCCCCTGCACTGACCTACTCATTCACTTTACAGAGGGCTCACCAGGCTCAGGCAGAGGGAGATGGCGGTCCAGGCCCTGGGGGAGCTGAGGGCTTTGGCCAAGGGCCGCAAACAGCAGGGTAAGGGAGGGAGGTTCAGAGGACGGGGGTGGCACTGAGAGCCACCCTGCGGCTCAGAGCTCGGATGACTGAGCAGGCAGATATCCTGGCAACAGAGAACAAAAGCCCCCGACAGCACTCCAGGTTCCCGGTGCCCTGTGGCTGGTGTCCCAGAGTGTGAAGCAGCCGCCTTGGTCAGAGCAGCGGGTCCGCCCTCCCCTCCCCTGTCAGAGGGAAGATGGGAGGAGCATGCAAGAGCACTGGGTGCCACTCCATCCCCACCATCCCCACTGATCTAGCTGTTCTTTCTCTCTTGCTCTCTCCCTGTGCCCAGAATTCCATCCGCCACAACCTGTCCCTGAACAAGTGCTTCATCAAAGTGCCTCGGGAAAAGGATGAACCAGGCAAGGGGGGCTTCTGGCGCATTGACCCCCAGTATGCAGAGCGGTTGCTGAGTGGGGCCTTCAAGAAGCGGCGACTGCCCCAGGTCCACATCCACCCCGCCTTTGCCCGCCAGGCTGCACAGGAGCCCAGGGCCACCGCCTTGGCCAGGCCCCTGGCCGTGAACACTGAGGCCCAACAGCTGCTGAGGGAGTTTGAAGAGGTCACAGGGGAGGCAGGTTGGGGCACAGGCGAGAGCAGGCTGGGGCGCAAGCGCAAGCAGTCCCTGCCAAATCAGGTGGCCAAGGTCCCTCGGGTCTCTAGCATGCTGCTGCTGACCCAGGAGGAGCAGGGCGAGCTGGAACCCCTCAAAGGCAACTTTGACTGGGAGGGCATCTTCGAGGCCAGCACTCTGGGCGGGGAGCTGAGCACACTGGAGGCCCTGGAGCTGAGCCCGCCACTGAGCCCTGCCTCCCATGGAGACGTGGACCTCACTGTCCACGGCCGCCACATCGACTGCCCTGCTACCTGGGGGCCTCCAGTGGAGCAAGCCACCGCTGACACCCTGGACTTCGATGAGACCTTCCTGGCCACATCCTTCCTGCAACACCCCTGGGACGAGAGTGACAGTAGCTGCCTGCCCCCAGAGCCCCTCTTTGAAGCAGGGGATGCTTCCCTGGCCGCTGACCTGCAGGACTGGGCCAGCCTGGGTGCCTTCTTGTAAGAGACCAGGCCTTGCCCTGCCTCTGGACAGTGCCCAAGTCAGGGCCCAGAACTCCCTTCCAACACTGGCCCACAGACACCTCGCTGCCCAGGCAGGGGCTTGCCCAAGTTTCCCAAGGCTGGCTCCACAAAGCCACAGCGCTGCCACCCCAGGTTCTCCTCAGATTCAAGCCCAGGAGGCTGAGAACTGGGAGCCAAGGACTAGAATTGCTGCCTCCCCCAGTCAGCCCCTACACACACAGTGTTTCAATGACCCGCATTCCTCCACTCCAGGGACATGCCAACAGGCCCTGCACCGTGAGCACTGAGGCCTGTAAGGGTCCAGGCCACGCTGGGAGCAACAGAACAGGCCCTCCCAGTGCACCTCCCTCTGCTCTGCCCCCTCTCCCACTCCATCCTGCTTCCCCAGGTCTCTATCCAGAGAAAGTTCCCAGGTACAACAAATGCTAATTAGGTGACAGTAAATTAACCCCCTGGAGGCTTCTCCTGGCAGAGCCTCCCTAAGGGCCAGGTGGCGCTGGCTGGGGCAGAGCTGGCAGAGGACTGACTGGGGGAGGGGTGCACGGAGGAGGCCGAAGGGACGTGGGGGTGCAAGGTGGGGCCCAGAGATGTTCTGCAGGGCCTCTGGGGCCTTTGCCTGCCTGGCCCCATCTATAGGGGAAAGAAAGTCAAGGCTGTAAATCCCTAATCTGGAGCCGGATTTGACGCTGAGAGCAGCTGGAAGCTGGGGGGGGGGGGAGACAGACTAATGTAGTGAGTGTAGTTCTAGGTAAGGCCTAACTGTGCGGGACCAAGCTTGCTGGAACCACTGGGACCAGGGAGGGGGCAGCCCCAGTCCTTGCCTGTACTGGGGGATGGGGTCTTGTACCATCCTGACCCCCAGGGCCACCTCCCATCTTCACCCTCTCCATAGGGCAATTTAACCTTTTTCATTGAAAGTTATTTACAATAAAAGGTTTTTTTAAATAAAATTTCTAAAAATCTGAACATGGACCTCCTCTTAGCTTTCTTTGGAAAAAGCAAGGGGCCCAGTGGTTTTCGTTTTGTTGTTTTGTTTTGGAAGCAGTACTTCAATGCCTAAGAGGGGAATGGCCAGGAGGAAGGGGGGAGGCAGTAACCCCTGCCCAACTCCCCGCGACCAGACCACACTGCGGAGGATGTGGCCAGAGGCAGCTATTGGGAGCTGCTTGCAGCCTGGGCCTCACACCTTCATCTGCGCAATGGGGAGAACTAACTGCTCAGGGCCCCGGGGAGCAGGAGACGAAGGAGGAGGTTCACCCTGGCCCTGGGACTCAGAAAGGCAGAGTGTGCTGGGACTCACGCCATCTCCCACCCGAGGGCCTGCCCAGGCTCGCCCGCCCGCCCGCCAGGTCTGCAGCCCTGGCCTGGGCCTGTCTCTGGCACCTCCCTCCCCTGGTCCTCTCCTGAAGGGACAAGGCGTGAGGTCAGAGAGCCCCAGCCCCAGGGCCCCTTCCTGCCCTGGTGTGAATTCACTTGACACTGCCCAGCGTGGCTTGGGGAGGAGGAAGCCGCCAGGGGATGGGGTGGAGCGCTCAGACCATCCTCTCAGCCCACACTGGCAGCTCTGCTCCATTGTGACTGGTGGGGCAGCACAACACGACACACGACGTGGGATGTGTGTCTGGGAGACACTCAGCTGGCACCTCAACCCCCTCACCCTAGGTTGCCTGGCATCTACTCTCTGCCCAGCCCCTCTGGACCCCACATACCACCCTCCCTGGTGTGCAGACCCTCCCAGCGCGCACAGGTGCACACACACACACACACACACACACACACACGGGCACAAATGGGTACTGTCCAGCGCTATCCTGCCCAGTCCCCGGAGCCCCGCTGCCCCCGTCCCCCTTTCTTTCTCTGTCCTTGAATTTGGCTGTAGGCCAACCTGACATTCCCCTGGCTAATTTACTGCTTTCACTTGCTAATTATTCCAAATATTCCAGAAGGGCACACACACTGCAGGAGGACAGGGCGGGCAGGGCTGGGGCCTGACTGAGCCCAGATGCCAGCCATCCCTTCACACAGCCCACAGAGAGGGCCACTGGCTGGGCACAGAAGCCCTGAAACACCTCCCCGTCTCTCCATTACCCAACCCCTTCGCCCTCTGCCCACCACAGCACTGGGGAGACAGCGGGGCGCCAGCCCTTCTCCACTAGCCCCAGTCAAGGTGGGACACCCTGACTGACAAAAGAGTGTGACACTGCCTGCCCCAGGGCCCTGCTGAGAGGACAAAGCGCAATGTCAGGGGCACTACAAGGACCCCCTGGAGGAGCACAGGGCCAAAGAAGTGGGGCAAGGGGTACCCTGCCTGCATTGACAGTCACCCAGGGCCTCTTGAAAACCCTGATGCTCAGCGCCCAGGCTCCACCCTGGGCCAATTAGACCAGAAGCTCTTGGGGCCAGGACGCCCCCCCCCCGTATCGGGGATTGAACCAGGGTCTTCTCACTGAGCTACATCCCCAGCCCCTTCTTTACATGTTTATTTTGACAAAGGGTCTCACTAAGTCACTAAATTGCTTGGGCTGGACTCAAAATTGTGATCCTCCTGCCTTATTCTCCCAGACTAGGACTTCATGCATGCACCTGGCTGACATCTGCACTTCTTGTTTGTTTGTTTGTTTTGTACAGGGGATCAAACTCGGGACCTTGAGCTTTCAAGGCAGGCAGCGGAACCACTGAGCTAAATCCCCGGCCCTTGCACTTTCTAAAGGTTCCTAGATATATGCAGTGTGCAGCCTAAATTGAGAGGCCCCACTGGAGAGGGCTTGCATGATCCATCCTTTCAGGCAGGCAGCACGGCATGTGGCAAGGAAAGCACGAGGCTCGTGTAGCTCTTCAACCCTGCCCCGCCCCTCAGCACCCTGGTCTTTCTCAAGAACAATGTTGATTTACTTCCTATTAATTTATAGATTGAGTACAATCCCAACCAAAATATGCTGTGTGCCTTTCGACAGTAAGGTGCAAACATGACACATGACCACTAAACACCTAAGTGCGTATCTCCCCAATGAAAAACACATCTACACACCCAGTGCAGGGCTTCAGTCAGTGCCCCAGTCAGCTCATCTGATCCACAGAGCCCAACCCAACAGTGCCCATGGCCCTCAGCTCTCTGGCCCAGTGCTCCAATCCACGAGCATGTGACACCCTCACTGTCCTAGCCCATATCTTGTCGGGGAGAGGGGCAGTATGGGAATGAAAATCAGGCCTTGTACATAAGCAGGCACCCTACCACTAAGGTACATCTCCAGCTCCTTTAAAAAAAAAATGCTGGTGCCCCAGGGATTTAGCTCAGTGGTGCTGCTGCCTGCCTCACAAGTGCAAGGACTTGAGTTCGATCCCTGGTACCAAAAAAAAAAAAAATAGTTGGAGCTGGGTGCAGTGGCACACACCTGTAATCCCAGCATTCGGGAGGCTGAGGCAGGAGGATCGCCATGGGTTCCAGGCCAGCCTGGGCTACACAGTGAGTCCAAGCCCAGCCTGAACTACACAGTGAGACTGAAAGCATTTTCCAGTACTGGATATTGAACCCAGAGCCTTTGCACAGAGCTACATCTCCCGCCCAATATTTTTATTTTTTACTTGGAAACAGGGTCTCACTAATTGCCCAGACTGGGCTCAAACATGCAACCCTTCCACCTCAGGCTCCCGAGCAGCAGGAAACATAGGTACGTGTCACTGAGCCTGGCTGGCCAGGTTCTTTTGAGCTGTATGGCTTCAGCACAGAACTCAAGTTCTCTGAGCAGGTTTCGCCTCTCCAGCCCAGGCTGGCCTCAAACTTGCAGTGCTCCTCCTGCCTCAGCCTCCTGAGTGCTGGGATTTCAGGTATGCACCACCATGCCCAGCCTCTCCTTCATTTCTATGCTGCAAACTCCACTTCTGCAGTGACCAGCTCCTGAATCACTCCATCTTCAGGTGCTGGGTGAGGCCCTTTCCCAAATCAATGAGCCAGCCCAGCCCTGAGCCTCTTCCCTGTGCTCCCTGTTCCCCGTATCCCCACATCCAGGGATGGGACAGTAGGAGGGAAGGAGAGAGCCAGGAGCTTGGACCTTTGGGCCTCCGCCTCTCTGCCCAGGCCACTTCCTGCTCCACAGGACAAGCCACATTGGGGTGCAGTTATTCTTGGGTCTGGAAGTCCCCCCCCCCCAGCCACCTCGCCCTGCACTTGGCCCCCTGCAGAGCTGAGCCAGCCCTGGGCGGGAAGTGCTGCCCACCCCCACCATAAGCACACAAGGACAGCGGCTGCGTCAGGTGCCGCGTCCTGGGCTGAGGCCCAAAGGTAAACAGGTGTATTTGGACTCCAGCAGGGGGCAGTGGCCCAGCCCCATGGGGCAGGCCTGGACCTGCCCAGGGTGGGGAAGTGGGGTGTTCTTAACAATGGGGTGGGACAGAGGCCCAGGTCCGCCTGACACATTCTTGTGTGAGAAGGAGAAAAACACAGGTGACAGAGAGGGGAAAGTTGGGGATGGGAGGGGGCTTCGTGTGGCCACCCAGGGCAGGGCAGGGCTGTGCCGACCAGTGTGAGCCATGGCGCAGGGACAAGGCACATGGGAGCACCTGCTGGGAGGGGTCGCCTTCCTCCCAGGACACGTGTGTCCATCTTGCTGTGTTGCTCTGAGGTGGGACAGGTCAGAGCCACCGCAACAGGCGGGCATGCTGGGGCCTGAATTTGCCCGTGTACGTCAGGAGGAGGCAGGGACCAGGGACCGGCTAGAGGGACACTGCCCCAAAGAAGCCAATCAGCCTGAGCTGGCTAGGCAAGGGGAGGTGGGGACATCCAGTAGCCAAGGGGGACAGCAGGGCTCAAGGCCTCCCTCTTGGCCCCTCCAGCTCCCTGCTGTCCCTTAGGCCACATCCTCCATTCGAAGGGGAGGATTGGCGCCTGTGGTCTGAGCCCCCGGCCCTTTCCCCCTGGAAGGAAGCAGCTCCCTGAAGGCCCCCCAGAAGCATTTGCACACCTCATGGCCACATCCCACCCACTCCTGGGGCCGTCAGAAGCCCAGGCCACAGGCAGCCCGCTCAGTGCTGCTGTTTGACCAGAGGATTAAGCCGGAGCTGGGAAGTCACCAACTGTGCTCCTTTCCCAGCCACCCACGGGCTCTGACAGAGGCCCTGGCCCCTGCCCTAGCCACCCTGCTCCCTCCTGTCTCCCCCTGGGCACCAAGCCCTGTCCCCCCCGCAGCGTCAGGCTCCCTTCCAGTTCGCCCTGAGTGACCTGTGTCTGCCTTGGGCAGGGTGGGACACAGACCCTGCCTCAGGGATTTGTCTCACGAGCCTATAGGTCTGTGGACACCCACCTCACTCCTCCACTGAACGAGTCAAACCCACTGGCCAACTTGTTGAGGAGTGAAGGAATGAGTGAGTGAGTGAATGAATGGATGGATGGATGGATGGACTGGCAGGTCAGTAAAAGAAAAAGAAAATAAAACACCAAGGTGCGTTTGCAGATACTTGATGAATCCACAAGTGAATAATAACTCTATGCATGAATAAGTGAAATGGAGTCAATGAGGGGAGGGAGGAGATGAGACAGGACTTTGTCCTGTCCCATGGAGGTCACCCCAGGTTACTCAGAGAAGTCACCCACCGGGATGTGGACACCAGAAACTGCAAAGAGGCAGATGCAGGCCTAAGGCAAGTCACAGGGACCTCGGGAAGAGAGGTCAGTGCTGAAGGCCCAGTGATGGTGTCTCCTCCACTGGTTGCATCAGAGCGAGGCAGCGAGCAAGGCCTGAGGCTTCCGGGAAAGCCACCTTTAGGAAATGAGGCAGAGGACCTGGGTTACAGAGAGGGAGGAGGAGAAGCAGGCAGTCGGGGAGAAGGCAGGTGGGAGCCGCTGCCTGCCCTGCACACCTGTTCCCGCAGCAGCCCCACCCACCACCCTGCAGGTGGGTCCCGGGCCCAGCAGCACTGCTGAGCAGCGGGTG